ATTTTGTAATTTTTAATTATATTATAATTGAAATATTATTTTTTATGAAATATTATAATATGTTATTTAATAACAATTTTATTGTATTATATTAAATATAATAACAAATTTACATTAGATTGTTATTATATATTATATTATAGAATAATATAATATAATCGTTATTTTTAATTATTTCAGTTATTATTTTAATAATAATGTTGTGTGGGAAAATTCAGAACGACACGTTGGACAACAACCAGGCCACACGTGGCGCCATGCTTGCCACGTCATTTAGCCCTCGATGCCCGAGCCTCATTGGTCTCTCCTATATGGCTAGAGAGCCGAATGTATAAGAAGATCGAGACTGTCGACCCTATACACAGTCGAGGTCTGCGAGACCAGCCCAGGCAAAATAACGTGATAAAGTCAGCCGTAGGAGAGGCTACCCTCGATAGATGTTAGCATAGGCGCAGACGGCTATGCACAAGCAACTGGATCCACGTCCCAAGGAAGACCCCTGAGAGGATCAACCGAATATCCCAAGGTTGCGTCTGGATTTAGAAAAGGTCAGTTGCATGTGAAATGATTACAAGCCCTTGAAACTGCCTGGAATGGATCACTAGCTATTACAGGGATCTATAGAGCCGTAAAGTGGGGACAAATTGGATGAGTGAATAGTCCAAAAGGTAATGGCAGGCTACGATCTGAACAAAAGAGGCCATAGGCCACTCGAGTGGGCGGGCCTCATGAAGGACACGGTCAAATGGTCCAAACCGCCTACCATTGGGCAGAGACTCATGCAATATCCACTATAAAAGGGAAGAGCCCCCGAGAGAGAGGGGGATGGATTTTTCTTTTACGTGTATGTAACTTGTAAGAACAAAGACAAGAGAAATACAATACAGTGGATGTAGCTCTTGATTAACAGAGTGAACCACTATAAAATTCTTGTGTGTTCTTACTTTCATAAGCATAATCTCACTTACTTCATAACCTAGCAAAAACCCTACTACAAATTCCAGCATATTCAGTGAAATCATAAGTTCGAAATCGGTAACCCAACGGGCTACCGTGGGGTAATCTGGTAAGGTCTTGTTGACAAAATTCCACCATCAACAAATAGTATTATATTCTATATCATAATCATATAATATATTATATAATAATAAATATATATTATATTGTAATTATATATATATATAATAGTATAATATAATATAATCGTATGCAATTCAACCTCATAATTTATCAAATGTTATTACACTGATTTTGAAACCAGCAGAGCTATTATAATTATAGTTTACCAAACACTCAGCTGCTTTTTGTAATAGTTGTTTCTTCCTTCAGCACAGCTAAAAGTAATTTTTCCAAAATCTACAACACTACCAAACTAAGCCTTTGTTGTGTTCTCTCGAAAACTTGCTGTATGGGGAAGGTCCCGTAGGAGATCATAAAGAGGTAATTTTTGTGGGGAAGAAAGCAAATACCTTTCAGACCACATGAGTCTGATTTTTTATTTTTTTATTTTTTTAATATCATTTTAATCATATAACTATATTAGTTAAAGGATATTTATAAAGAGTAAGTGATATATATATATCATTATTAATCAAGACTTAAGCACTTTAAAAATATATTTACTTTTACATCAAAGAGAAAAAGAAAGTAATGAGTTATTTTATTTCTAATCTCATAATGTAATTTTAGTGGGCCCCACACAATATCAAAAATGAGAAAAGGGAATACCAATTCTTACACACCTTTAGATTGATTCATTACCAAAGAGAATGAATGTTAAATTTACTTATCTATCCTTAATAAACAACTATACAATCAATTATTATTTAATTGTGTAAAAGGGCATTTTAGTTATTACATTCATAACATTACTATTCTTAATTTTAATAAACATAAGAAAGGGAATGGAGTTGTCATTAATGTTGGTTTCTGAAATGATTTCGGATGCAAAAGTGTGTAACTAGTGGATCGTGTATAACAAAATTTTCATAAAATTTTAAGATACTCTATAAATTACATTAATTTATGCACAAATAAATTAATCAAATTAATTTATTTACCTAACGAACGATTAGGTCGATAAATTGAGTTATTTGATCACGAACGTTCCTCGCTCCAAGTTAGTTTAGAATACCCGAATCTTTCTCGCCAATTTCTTGAATCTATGAAGACGTGTGTGTGGGCACACCTGAAACAAAACAGGATTAGCAAATAAACACTTAAGTTTACCACGAACACCAATACATGCACGACATGGAATTTGAGAGAAAATTTATCCTTTCCTCACACTCTATAATTCAGCCACTATAGCTAGGAGAGTGTAAAAATTGTGTTCTCCAATCTTCTGCAATCTTTTATTTATAAAGTAGTAGTCAGACTCCCAGAAAAAGTCTAATTTTTATCTCCAATATAAAGCTTGATAATTATCTTCCACTTTTTATTTGATTTTGAAACAAAATCTCTCTCCCTTATCCACATATTGACCGGCCTAGGCGCAATTGCAGCTAGGGAATTAAGCATTCTGCATTTATCCTGCAGTCTAATTTTGACTCAAATTCAAATTCTAATTTAAGTCAAACTTAAATTAATTTGAATTTTAAATTAGACAGCTTATCAAATACGTCAATTGGATAACTTAGAGAGTAAGTAACTGAATCCCTATGATGGGCTTTCACACTATGTGAACACATTCACATGTGTGTTTCAAAATTGAAATTGAAATTGAAATTTAAATAATCACATTATTTAATTTATAATTAGTTCTCAATTAATTATTCTTGAGTGTTTTATTTTAGATTTCTATAATTCTAAACTTTCTATTTTACCCTGAGTGTCCTATAGGATTACAAAGACGATGCGAGGACTTATGGACCTATAATTTCAAGCTCCAATAAATTTAATAATTAATTAAATACTTTAATTAATTAATTAATTCTATTAATTCTAAAAGTTACTCCACTAAAAACTTGGAATTGCACTCTCGTAATTATAGACATAAATTACTTATAAACTATAAAATGTCAATTTGATATAGTCACTATATATAGATCAATCATCCATAAATAACTCATAATTAGAGTTAGGTGAAACCCGCTAATCTCTCTAATTACATCTTTATCATTGAGTACCATTGATTCTCTAATGGACGGTGATTCATAAAATAAATTCATGAATCATAGCTCCTATTGGTCCAAGTGCCGAATCAACCCTTAAGAGAATTATTTATCTACTTCTTTCTCAAGAAAGATTGAATTCCATCTCGTATAATAACATTTTCGGCTACTCACTTCATCGTGTCTCCAAAATACAAGGAATAAGATTCAGGATCTCCGAATCCATACCGAATAAATCAAAAGACACAAACCCATTAATAGAAGTTTACTAATAACTCAGGATTAAGATCATTCTATATATGACCATCGGTAGACTCAATTAGAATTTCTATACTTAACGAAAATTATCATAAATTCATATTGTGTTTATATCATTGTTTCACATAATCTCCTTATGCGTAATACACTCATTCAATATCTCACCATATTAATACTGCAGATAACATCATTCCATTCTGAATGAGAATGACATACATTAGTAATGTTTTAATTAAAGATTCTAAACTTTAATTAAATTCATTATGACCATCGTTCTGATTATTATCCTTAAATATTATCCTCTCGCATATAATTCTTATATACAATATTTAAGGTCACATAAATAATCATGAAATTTTCAGTGATATTCATAAAATATTCAATAATATATGCACAATAAATAATGAATAAACTCTTTTTATTAAATTAATACTAGATATCCTATTACATCTTATGCTTTTAGGACATCATTTCTACTAATTACACTATATAATAATTAAGTAAACACATGAAAGAGAATGAATGACTCTTAATCCTATTACTTTACTTTCCTTTCTAATCTCATTATCTTTCCTACTAAATCCCTTTAGGTTTTAATAAACGCACACTAAAAGTAAGTTTAACAATTTTCTCAAATTTTCTTAACCTTTTTCATTTACTGGTGCTTTGCTTTGAAATTTTGTATGGAAATTTTTGTTAAGGTATTTTTCACATCTATCCCTTAATGTTAGGTTTGATAACTTACCGCCTAAACTTATAATTTAGGCAATTAATTTAGAATTGTATTAAATTAGTGACAATTCTAGGTTTAATGCTCCCCATTATATTTAGGATTATATTAAATTAGTGACAATAAAATATGTTAGACCAAAAATTTTATTATATTAAATTAATTGGTAAATTCGCCACGTTGTAACTAAAAAAAAAATCAATAAGTTGTAGAGCCAAATTTTAAAATTAGAATTTCATGAGTAGGTTGTCAAGCCTGAAAAGTTTTGCTGACAAAGGCATAAAAACCCAATTTGAGAGTATTTAGGACATTTCAAGAAGGTTAAAATCCCGTTTCGATTTCACATAAAATTTTAAGCTCGTTTAGTTCATACATTTCTGACATTTGAAATTTAAATTTTTTATAAGAAAAAAATACTACGATAAAATTAAAATTCTCCCGCGGGATTAGATAATAGGATACCCACATAATTCCATTCATAACTTCCGGCAGTAACTAGCATACTCAGAATCTCCACACAAACAAAAAGAACCGAATAGGATCATGATCAAACAACACGACATTATTTGCTGATCATGAGCTCCTTAAGGTGCATTTCAAAACACCCAACAATTTCTCTAATAGACTCACGCACATCTCTCAAGGAGCTGAAGCAAATCCACGCCCAACTGCTGACGAACGGTCTCCTTAACGACCCCAACCGTCTAGGCCAATTCGTCGCCACCATAGCCATCCACAACCCCAACAACCTCGACTACTCGAACCAAGTTCTCGACCAATGCCACTTCCCAACGCTTTTCGCCTTTAACTCCATGATCAGAGCCTACTCCAAAACCTCCACGCCTCACAAAAGCTTCCATTTTTACAATAGGATTCTAATGTCCAACGACAATCTCTCGCCTTATAACTACACGCTCAATTTCATGGTTCGTGCATGCGCTCAGCTTTCGGGTTCCGAAACCGGTCCGTCGGTTCATGGTGCGGTCATAAAGCAGGGGTTTGAGAATGATCCGCATATTCAAAGCGGGTTGATTTTCATGTACGCCGAGTTGGGTCGCTTGAGCTCGTGCCACCGGGTGTTCGGCGTGATTCCCGAGCCGGGTGTTGTGTGTCAGACTGCAATGGTGAGTGCTTGTGCTAAATGCGGTGATGTTGGGCTTGCGCGGGACCTGTTTGATGAAATGCCGCAGAGAGACCACGTCGCTTGGAATGCGATGATTGCGGGGTACGCGCAATGTGGGAAGTCGAGGGAGGCGTTGGCTTTGTTCCACATGATGCAAGTGGATGGTGTGAAGGTGAATGAGGTGTCTATGGTTTCTGTTCTGTCGGCGTGTTCGCACTTGGGGGCATTGGATCATGGGAAATGGGCGCATGCTTATATTGAGATAAACAGGTTGAGAATGACGGTGAATTTAGGGACCGCGCTTATTGATATGTATGCAAAATGCGGGGACATGAAAAGGGCCATGGAAGTCTTCTGGGGAATGAGAGAAAAGAATGTGTACACATGGAGTAGTGCCATGGGTGGCCTAGCTATGAATGGATTTGGAGAGAAGTGTCTTGAGCTCTTCTCGCTTATGAAACGAGATGGAGTTCAGCCAAATGAAGTAACATTTGTTGCAGTCTTTAGGGGTTGTAGTGTGGTTGGATTGGTTGCGGAAGGTTGCGAGCATTTTGACTCGATGAAAACAGTGTATGGAATCGAGCCTCAGATAGAACATTATGGGTGTTTGGTCGATTTATATGGTCGAGCAGGGCGTTTAGTTGATGCCCTGGGTGTCATCGATAGCATGCCTATGAAGCCCCATGCCGGTGCTTGGGGAGCTTTGCTTAATGCTTCTAGAATGCACAAGAATTTGGAGTTGGGCAAACTCGCCTCGAGAAAGATTGTGGAGCTAGAGGCCAAGAACCATGGTGCTTATGTTCTTTTATCAAACATGTATGCGGATTCAAAGAATTGGGATGGAGTTAGTAATGTGCGTCAGATTATGAAGGCTAAAGGTGTAAGGAAGCTTCCTGGTTGTAGTGTTATTGAGGTGGATGGTGAGGTTCATGAATTCTTTGTAGGGGACAAATCCCATCCAAGATATGATGAGATTGAGGTGAAGTTAGGTGATATCTCTATGCGGCTTAAATCATTCGGTTATACGGCGAATACTAATCCGGTGCTATTCGATATAGAAGAAGAAGAGAAAGAAGATGCCTTGTGTAAACACAGTGAGAAGGTTGCAATTGCTTTTGGCTTGATCAGCTTGAGGGAGGGTGTTCCAATTAGGATTGTGAAGAACCTCAGGGTTTGTTGGGATTGTCATGAAGTAACAAAACTGATTTCAAAACTTTACAATAGAAAAATTGTTGTTAGAGATAGGAATAGGTTCCATCATTTTCAAGACGGCGAGTGTTCTTGCAAGGGTTATTGGTGAAACAAAAATTTGACTAGTTTCATTTCGAGAAGATTTTGTTTATTCTTAGATGTGAATTGGAGGAAGATTTCTTTTTTTGTCTATTTCTTCATAAGTTATCAAGAGAAGATTGCTTTTACATTCTTTGTTGGACAGCATTATGGGAAGATATTGTTTTCCAGTAATAAAAGATCAGGATTCAGACCATTTTTCTATCAGATACGTGCACATTTGTTCCTGAGTCTATGATTAACCTCTAAGTCCCTACATGCCATGATTGTAGCCGACAACAACTTTCATTTCAACTGATGCATGGGCATAGTTGAATTTGGGATGTGCCTTTGGGCCTCGAAAAGTATTCGAGCCCGTTCATTGAGTGTGGCTACGGAGGCATAAGGGATTCCTCCAAGTACGGACCTAAAAGAGTAGTGTTGGGGCCCAGATGGTGTCTAAAATTTTTTGTTGTACCTCTCTTACCTCGCTTGGGCCTTGAAGAAGTGCTTGATCTTATCCATCTCCTCGAATAAGGGCTCAAACGAGTAGTGAATGAGCCACTTTTCTAATAAAGTGAAAAGAAAAAAAATAAAGAATTTACCTGCTGCATGAGTTTAACCTTTTATCTTTACTCTTAATAAATACTTTTTATTAATGTAATTATTTAATTAAAAAAGTTATAAATTAAGAATAAAGAGTAAAAATTCTTATCCATATACTTTTAAAGAGTATTTATCAAGATTATTTAAGTGAAAAAGATGTAGGAGCATGTTGTAACTCGGGAACTGACCTATATGGCTTCGGCCTTAAAGAAGTGCCCAATCCTGTTCATCTCCTCAAAATAAGGGTCCAAAAGAATATCCGTTCACTTCACCGATTCGAGTTTAGAATTTGAGTTTTACTATAGTAAAAAGTTCTCAGAAACAGTCACATCTAACTTTTTTGCTACAGTAAAAATCTCTCACATAAAATCACATCTTAACTCAAATTATAAATTCGAATCAGCGAAGTGAACGAACCCTATGGATTCTTGAGTTTCATCTTTAGTCTCTTAGGTAGTATTTAAAGTTTTTTTTCCTTTTTTTTTTTTGGCTCTGAAATGATTGCGCCAATACTACGTTATCAATGTTTCACGTTTAAAATTTATGATTCATGCAATTTATTTTTATGCAAATATATTTACGTAACTGCTGTTACGGGATTTGCATGCTGACAGATATTTCTAATGACATGACATGGCTTTACCAAGATCTGACTTGTTTACATCCAATATTCATTATTTCTTCATTCCAAACGTTACAAAAGGAAAATAAACATAAAATTATTCCAGTGTTAGGAAACCAAACCCAAAAAAAAAAAAATTAAAAAAAATTAAAAAAAATAAAAATCACTTCTTGATGTTGTGAAAATGCACATAACGGGAAGAATAGCTAAAGTGGAAGCATTTTCTAGGTACAAACGTCTTGCAGATATGTTATGGCCCCGTTCATTTCGCTGATTCGAGTTTAGAATTCGAGTTTTACTACAGTAAAAAGCTCTCACAAACAATCACATCTAACTTTTTTGCTACAGTAAAAAGCTCTCACATAAAATAACATCTCAACTCGAATTAAAAACTCAAATCAGCGAAGTTAACGGGTAATATGTATATCAGAAAGGAATAAATTGGTTAAGTGAGAACACAAACTTTCCTTGGAGTACAGCATTAAATGTCACGTAGACCATACTGCAATTTGTTAATATCTTCAGATATTTAAGTCTAGATATTTATCTAATTAATTTCAAAGAGAGATATTGGTGGACTACGAGTGTGAACAGTAGAAGTGTGACAAGACAAAATCGGTTATATTCATAAATTGTAGTGCAGCCATATGTTAAACTAAAATAGCAAGCAAATTTGAAATAAGACATTGGTCCTTGATTTCTTACCCCACCAAAAAAAAAAAAAGAAGAAAAAAAAATCTTATACGTGTATAAGCAAGATGTTGATATCTATATAACAGGAAAAGTGTCACATCTTACTGGCTTAACAAGGTAGAGGGATTTTGATAGGGAAAATGAAAATGTAGGTTGTTTGGTAGGAGAGAAAAGAGAAAGGAAGAGAAAATAGAGTAAAAAATAATACACGTAGGCCCCACCATTTTTTTTCTTTCCACAAGTGGGCAGAAAATGAGATGGAAAATAGGGGCAACTCATTAAAGTGAGCAAAGTTACTAAACTACCATTTTCTCTATCAACATCCAAGTAAAAAATTTAAGGGTATAAAAGTAATTTACGAATAAGATTTTTTCTTTTCTCTCAATTTAACTTCTAATACCAAACAGGTGAAGGTAAGCTCATTTTCTTTCCATCTTCTCATACCAAACAACATAAAAGAAAATCAATTTTCTTTCCATCATTGCTATTTTCTATCACTTTTATATTTTCTTTCTATCCTATTTTCTTTCCTTCGTACCAAACATAGCATTAAAGTTGGGAGATTTTTCTTTCACCTGTCATAAACTAGAAGCAAAAAAAAAAAAAGTTTGTTACGGCATAATTCCACTAATCACATTGGTCATTAGAACATTATCATTGGCCAATAAGTCTCCTCTTTACCTAAGGAAGAAAGCAGCTGATTTAACAAGTTCGATAGGAAAAAAAAAAAAAAAAAGCAACTGTGAGTTTCTGGTTAAATTTCAAAAAGGAGCTCTACACGTTTTTTTTTTTTTTTTTAAATTTTTGTGAAAGATTTTCCCGACCAGTGTTGGAGAACGTGTATTAAATTAATCAAATTAATTTGAAGTTTGACTAAATTTTTAAAGGGTCCCTTGAAAACACTTTTACCAAACTTTAATAAAAAGAGTATCATAAAGATATGATATAGATACGCAGACTACCATTTTCCTGTTAAACGTGTTACACATTCATATACATAATGATAATATGCGTGCATGTAAATTTACATAATTTACACATGTTAATCTACGAAGCGTTTACTTTTGCATGAAGTACTGTATTAGTCACTTACACGTTAACAGATACATGATTAATTGTATCAGATCAATCATACTTAAAAATATATAGATTCATGTATTCTCGGGGGATGATTCCGATTATCAATTTCACACTGCAAGCACCCAATAGCTAAACCATGAGTAACTAGTGAATCATTATCTCGTGAAAATGATACTCTATATTAAAATAATGTCATAAATACCGGCGATGTTAAACACTATATATTTTCATACGTGTTCATTTTTTTTTTTTTTTCTAATAGATAATACGTGCCTTAGGCAACGCAGAATTTTCAGTACTGGATTCTAGCTGTGCCCATGTGAAGGCAGAAGCTCATTCAATAATTTGTATGATCTTCTACTAAGTTGCAGAATTTTATAACTCATCTTCGTCCGTTTTGAAACTTATAATCCCAAAGCATATATATATATATATATATATATGTGTGTGTGTGTGTGTGTGTGGTATTTGTAACTTCAATGTTATTGGTGAGCAAGCACGAAATAAGGGTGGTCAACAACATAGGCTAATCTACCATTTAAAAAAAAAAAAAAAAAAAGCTAATCATGGTTTCTCCAAAGTCAATGATTCTCAGTACTGAGGACGTTTGGTTGATGAATTCAGAATCATTCTCAATTTACGTGTATTTTTTGTGAGAAAAAACACTGTAACGAGTCACGAACCATGATTTTATAACTAATTATAAATCCTTGCATGTCATTTAGTCCTAAATATATAGACGTTCATAGAATAGTACCAAATTATCAGATGTTTCCATTGCATTTCTATTTTTTTGTTATTTTCTAAGCCAAATATATATTACCGATTCATAAAAACATTATTGAAAACAAGTATAATTAGTAATAAGGAGTGGATATAAGCGTTTACTTTTGCTTCCAAATGGCAACCAAAGGAAAGGGGCAAAACAAAACAAAAAAAAAACAATTAGCGTTTACTTTTGCATCATGTATATCTGGAAAAGGTATTATAACAAGTATTGATTAATCGGAAACTTATAATTAATTAATTAAGTCTCTAAACTCTTGTCATTATATAAGGTCAAGCTATATTATTGAGTCATATTGTAAGCTGCCAATAGTATTAATTAATCTTGTGGAAAAGGGTAAAAGAACAATTAAGCACAAGACTGCCAAATTAATCTTTCATTTCCTTTGAAAGAGTGAAAAGAAAAGAAATATAATATACTAGCTATGTTACATATACTTTCTTGGATATATTCTTCAAAAGCACCGATTCTTGTCTTAGTTTAATATTTCTTGAACGTTTTTCTCTTATTAATTAAAAAAAAAAAAAAAACTAGATAACATCAAAATTGACCCATTACGCAACTTGATATATGTACATTTATTTACTGTTACGTAATCCAGAATTTGGAGAACTTTTGCCGACTGCTGAGGATATAACAGAATGGGGATCATAAGGCTGCTGTATAAATATATAT